CACAACGCCCGGCTATTTTTTGGTTGCAGCCGTCATTGTTGTTTGGCGGGTCCGGGCTGGGGATTCGAACCCGCCACCTTAGGTGTACATGGCTGGCTCCTTAGCCGGTTGAGCTATAGGTGCCGAGCCAGAAATTATATTTCTTAAACTTACTTGATCACAGAACCATTTTGAGGAAAGATATTTTCCAGAACTAGAATTTTGCAGGGTCTGGGGTCTGGGGAATGTTGTTGTAGCTCATTTACTATATTAGCTATTGTAAATATACATTTGAAAAGTTTATGTCTCCACTGTGTTCTTTGTTCTTATCCTCTGTTTACATATTATGGCTGGTAGCTGTCCCTGAGTCTCCATTTCTTCCCCTTTCTCAGCTTTTTTGTTAGTGGGCAGTGTATCTTGTGGAGTTTTCCCCCCTAAAGATATAGTTTAAATCCGTCCCTTTTACTCTGTTCCCCTGTCCTCAGTATCAGTTGCGTGGACTTCTGTAAAAGTCTGAACCAGTCTTGCTTTATTCCAAATTAGCAGAATGATCTTCTAAACCTGAAAACATGATGAATTCATATCCTTCTTTAAATTCCATATTAAAAGTCAGCAGTGGTGTGTTAAAAACATTGTCAGCTGTTCTGGAAAATGTTATTCAAGTACTAAAGTTAATGCTGTCTACTTAAAATAAAAATACAGCAGACTCAAAGGTATTCCTAATCCTTTACTTTTAATCACTTGCATTCTTCTTACAATGAGAGTAAGTGATTCTTTGTTGAGGGGCAGAGTTAAAGAGGTGTGATATAAGTTCATGTACTTTGCAGTCTAATGTCTTGGTACCATAGTAACCAAGTGTTACTGTTGTAGAGTTTAAATTTTATGGCAATCAGTGTTTATTACTATCATTTATTTCTTGTTTGTATTTCTTGAGTTTTGTCAATATCTGATTATACTTCATGTGTCTTGGAAGAAAAACAGATTATCCTACTTGCCAATGGTTCTCAACAGGGGGCAGCAGGCCTCCCTGCTCTGAGAGTATTTGGAGTGGATATAGGAGTTGGGAATGTGGTAATTACTGTGGGTGCTATAGGTATCGGGTAGTCTGGTGCCCAGTGCGAAATATCCCGCAATGCATGAGGCAATTCCACGCATAGAGAATTGTCACGCTCCAGAAGTCCTCTGTGGGGAATGGTGTTGGTCGGCAAAACACAGCCCTTTTTTTTTTTTTTTTTTTGAGACGGAGCCTCAAGCTATCCCCCTGGGTAGAGTGCCATGGCATCACAGCTCACAGCAACCTCCAACTCCTGGGCTCAAGCGAATCTCCTGCCTCAGTCTCCCAAGTAGCTGGGACCACAGGCGCCCGCCACAACGCCCGGCTATTTTTTGATTGCAGCCGTCATTCTTGTTTGGCGGGCCTGGTCTGGAGATTCGAACCCGCCACCTTAGCTGGTTGAGCTACAGGCGCTGAGCCAAAATACAGCCCTTTGCACTGCATGGAGTAACAGGCCTCTGCTCCTGCTGTTCTCTAGAATGTGATGTTTTCTTGTGCAAATGAGGATATTCTCTATCTGGAATCCTGTTCTGTCCTTGATTGGTTAAAAAACTCTTCCTTTGTTTCTCTGAAAAGCCGTGTCTGACCCTTTCTGCTCTGGGGAGAATTAGTCGTTCTTTCCTGTGTGCATAGTGCCTGCCCAGCATCTATCCGGTCATCACTGGGGATATTCACAAACATCTTAGCCTCCCTTTCTCAGGGAATGTGGTAGGATCGAACGTTCCTGCTTTCCTTAAACTTCACTCTCTAAGGACTTGCTTTGGGCAATGAAATACGGGTGTAATTGGCACATGTAACTTCTAGATGGAAGCTTGAAGAAGCAGTTACAACTTGCCATTTTCTCTATATTGCTGCTATGGCAGGCAGAAGTAAGCCGGTTGGTAGCTGCTCTGTGATCCAGGGTCTTGAAGGAAGTAGAGCTCTCTGCCAACCCGTAATCAACAAACAACGTGAGCAAGAAATGGAATGTTATGTTAAGCCGCTGCGGTTTTCGGTAGCTTGTTACTACAGTGTACCCACGCCTACCCTGACTGATGTCCCTCTATTATAGCATTTGTCACGTGGGTTTGTTATCGTCGGTTTTACCAGACTGTATCCCCGTGGTAGACAGTGGGCTTCTTCATGGTAGAGATTTTGTTGATTTTGTTCCCGTGTTGCCAGAACTTTGCATAGTGACAAGCTGTATGAGTTATCTATTACTGTGTAACAAATTAGCCCAGAAATCAGTGGCTTAGAACAGCAATTAGCATTAATTATCTTCATGGTTTCTGTGGGTCAGGAATTTGGTGGCAGCGTGCATGGGTGGTTCTGGCCCAGAGTCTTTTATGAAACTGCGGTGAAGATATCAATTGGGGCCACAGTCATACGAAGGCTTGGCTGGAGCCAGAGGACTGACATCCAGCCACAGATGTTGATCCACATGGTTAGCAAGTGGATACCAGTTGCTGGTGAGGCAATTCAGTTCTTCCCCATGTGGGCCTTTCCCAAAAGCTGCTGAGTGTCCTCACTACATAGCAGCTCACTTCCCCCAGAGCAGGTGATCCAAGCAGGAGTAAGAAGAAAGTGGCAGTGTCTTTTATCACTACAGCAGCAGCTCTCAGCCTGTGGGTAGCGACCCACAGGAACTGTATTAAAGGGCCATGGCATTAGGAAGGTTGAGAACCCCTGCTCTGAAGTCACACACTGCCATTATGCCGTATTCTTTTTTGGTGTTTGTTTTTATTTAGTTTTTGAGACAGTCTTGCCCTGTCATCCAGGCTGGAGTGCATAGGTGTCATCATAGCTCACAGCAACCTCAACTTTCTGGACTCAAGTGATCCTCTTGCCTCAGCCTCCTGAGTAGCTGGGACTACAGGTGCCTACCACTAAACTAGGCTAAGTGTTCTATTTTTTGTAGAGATGGGGTCTTGTTCCTGTTCAGGCTGGTCTCAAACTCCTGATCTCAAGCTATCCACCTTCCTCAGACTCCCAGACTGCTAGGATTACAGGTGCGAGTCACTGTGTCTGGCCTGTCATGTTCTATTTGTTAGAACTGATTCACTGAGTCTGGCACACATTCACGAGAAGGAGAATTATGATCTACCTTTTGAAGGGAGAAGTATTGTATTAGTTTGTTTGCGTTGCTATAAAGGAAGCAGCTGAGGCTGGGTAATTTATAAAGAAAAGGGTTTATTTAGCTCACGGTTCTGCAGGTACCAGTATCTGCTTTTGGTGAGGGCCTCAGAAACCCTTCAGTGATGGTGGAAGGCAGAGGGGAGCTGCCCGTGCAGAGGTAACATGGTGAGAGAGAGGGAAAGGAGGTACAAGGCTCTTTGAAACAATCACAGGACTTTTCACAAGAACTGATAGAGAAAGCACTTACTCATGACTGGGAGGAAGGGACCAAGCCATTCCTGAGGAATCCGTCCCCCGTGACCCAAACACCTCCCCTCAAGGCCCACTTCCAACCTTGGGGATCAAATTGCCACATGAGATTTTGATGGGACACAGATTCAATCGACCTCAATTATATAAAACAAATAACAAAACAAAACAACCTGTGGCCATACTTTAAAACCACCACAGAGGCACGTAGTGGGTCTTCAGAAAATACTGCCTGAAGGAGCAGTCAGCTGTTTTCATTTAGTTTGGTCAGAAATGCCTCGGCTTTTTTCCTTTTTATTTGAAGAAGTCAACCCCTCCTTTCAATTAACCTTTATTTCAAACTCTTCATCTCCTAGTTTTTTGAGCTTCTTTATGCTCCAGAGAATGAATTATGTATAACCAGTGCCAGAAATTTCTGGTGTGTGTGACTAAGGAGCTTATAATGGTAAAGAGCTCAGTCTCACCAACCTTGTAAATTAGACCCCCCCCCCAAAATTATCATAGGAAATAGAATGTGATTTAAAATTTTATCTTTTCCACAGGTTGACAAAAATCATTTTTGCTTTGTTATTAGAGATTTTCTTTCAAACTGGTAGTGACATTTGGGATTCCGTCATCACCATTTGTTACTGGAAAGAAGATTATTTCTCTTGTGCGTGGTTTTTTGGACAAAGCCTTGGCTGGCCTCCCCAGTCAGGTTGGGCTCCCGGGCTTAAGCCGGTTAAAGACTCTGGGTACAATTCTGTCAGCAGCATTGTCTCAGCAAAGCTGAAAACAAATACACAGAGAAGGTCCTTTCTGAGATGTCTGAACTTCCGGGTGTGTTAAAGTGGTTCTCTTATCCTTTTCCAATTCTGGAAATACTATGAACCTTTAGTTTTGTTAGGGAGACTGAAATTTCTCCTTCGCTAAAGCTGTCCCAGCCACAGCCTTCCCATCATAGGACACTAGCCAACTAGAACTTTCTCTTGGTTCATAGTTATTTCTCTCAGTTTGTCATGGGGGTTGGAGGGCTGCGCACATATCGAGGTGAGGGCACCCACATGGGATAAGAAAAGGGGCTAGCAAGAGCCAC